AGATCACAGATCGTTTATTGATTTTTATACTTGGCTTGGTTTCGTATAAGGTTTATAGTAGAAAATAAATGGATTATATTATACCTTGTCAAACTATCGCATGTTAATTTATGAAAGATATTTTTAACATATCTTGAAAAACAAATAGGATTTGAAAGAAGCAGAATTCTCGATCGATTGCTAGATGTACATGTCTATATGCAAGATAGCAGCCGCTTTATTATAACGTGAAGCAATGCTGATAGGATTGTGCCTATATACATATTCATAGCACAGCTCCTTCCTTTAATGTCAAGTTCTCTCTATGAAAACCAAAAAGTTGTTCAAAACAAAACTGAATTATAGACTGATTGTTCCAATGGTATCTAAAGTAGTCCGATTCCGCCTCGCGATATATACACTGTCCGCGACAAAAAGATAAGTTTTTCAAGGATATTGTAAGAATAGTTTGCATAGTAACATTTGGACAGTTCGTCCGTCTATTCTCGACTAAATCTGCTTTATGCAATACACATTTCAAGACAGATTTACAATACCCTTTGCTAGTGTATAAAAAATGCAATCAAAGTTTTAGCCGACTGCCAGTGGGGGGTCGTGTGTGGAGAAAAGGGGTAAGGGGGAATTTGCGAAGCATTAGGTGTTAAGGCAATAAAACAAATTGGGTTGTGGGGCAACTGAGATACGTGGGTTGGGTTGGCGCCACGGCAGTAACTATTCAATCTCTGCCAATGTAGAGCAACTTCAGACACACGAATTGGAATGTAAAGGCAAAACCCCCTCACCCTTCCCTCTCCACACACATACGCCCAACAACGAGTCTACAATTCAAGACTAAACTCAATTGATATGTATGGCCTGCAGCTAAAAAGGAGGAAGTGGTAGAAAATGGGAGCTGGTAAAAGTTGACACAAAAAACAAACTGACACAAATTGCAAACTCATTAAATTAAAATTATATTTAATAAACGCGAGTGCACGCAACGCTAAACGATTTATGCGCTAAAATAAAAACAAGCAAAAAAAAAAAACAACTCTAAAAAAAAGCTGAAATAACTTTGTTACTTTTTTATTTTGTTGTAGTTCCCGCACCGCCGCCGCTGCCCTCTTTGGTGCCAAAGGCGCCGCCACCGCCGCCGCCGCCATTGGCGCCGGGCGAGAAGCGGGTGCTGAGCGACACGCAAAAAAAAACGCTCGAGAAGCTCAAGTAAGTGGCCAAGCGCAGATGCTGGTTGCTTTCAGCTAAGCCACCATTTATTTCATTTTGCACAGAACGCGACCACGCAGACGTCCCGACTGGTCCGAGATGATGAAAGAAGTGGAGAGCGGTAAGAAGCTGCGCCACGTAGCATGCAACGACAGGTGAGCAGCTCATTAGCCATTATATATAAATAAATGGCTCCAGTTCGGCCACAATCGATGGCAAATGGAGTCGTTCCAAGTGCAGTGGTGGAAAGTAACTGGCAAATAAAAAAGGGTTTTATCTCAACAAATTAATTCAATACAGATATCAAATTAATCTGGAACTCAAAGGAAAGTTGTAAATCAGAGGAAACGCTTTACTTTTCACAAAGTTACGAAAGTTTAAAATTTGAAGTTTGCAAAAATTAAAGTTGGTTATTTTTTATACTCTTTCTTAGCAGGTTGTCTGCATACGATATCAAGAACTTCCTACTGCCGTCATTCGCAGACTTTGCTATCGACTCGAGGATTGCAGGCGACTTGGCACGCTTGAGGCTCTAACTTGTTGAGAATTTCAAGCGTCAAGCAACGTAAAAAGTACTGAGTGCTTAACAAAGTCAATTTTTTGTGTACTCATTCACAACCAACAACTGTTTTAGCTTAAAAGCCTCAACCTTTAACAACCAAGAATAGGAAATCCCTTCAAGTTTACGTTTTTCTCATTTTCGAAATGATGAAAATTAAACTTTCGAAACCTAAATTTTAATCTAATTAATCCGATCAAAATAGTGGAGCACATTGGGGATACATTAGGGACCCACTTGGCGACCAATAGGGCCCCCATTGCCACCATTATGTAAGAATCTTAAAAAATATGTTAAAAATGTTCAAATTAAAATCCTTTTGCAGAAAATCTCATGACAAAATGTCAAAAGATTTTAATGACTAGAATCAAATGCAAATAAAATTCTACGATACTAAGTAACAAAAGCAAAAGATATTAAAACGTGTATTAAATCCTTATATATTTTTCGAACCCAAGAAAAAGTTGTGTGATTCTCAAAAACTTGTTAAAAATTTTGCAATTAAAAAAATTGACAAAATTTGGAATAAAGAAAAGATTCTTCTTAGAAATACAATGCATTAAATAGGCTAACTTTTTTTTTTCTTTTAGATCTCAGCCCATATTGACATGCAAATCGATGACCAAAGTGGATGACAAATTCATCTATGAGACAGAGAAGGATAATTCGCATAATAAGCTGCTCAAGCAGATTCAGGGCGGCGTAAGGCTGCGTCCTACACAGACAAACGATCGCAGCAAGCCGATATTAGGAGGCTTGCGCAAGTTCCGCCGCCAGATGACCATCGAGGAGCAGCTCCACAAGTCGCAGTCAAAGGTCAATATGTTGAGCGAGGCGCCCAGCAGTAATGCCCTGGGTCCGAACAGTGCCACAGCACTCGGAGCGGGCGGCTCGAGGCCGAGCATAGTGTCCACCATGTCCATAGACGAGGAGAGTCCCGATGAGCTGGACGACATTGACAAGATACGCGACGACTTGCAGAGCACCAAGCAAATGCTGGCCCTTGAGCTGCGCAATCGTGAGGCCCAGGAGCGGGAGAATAAAAAGCTATTGGCCAAAATACGCACTCTCGAAACGGAGCTGGAGCGTGAGAAATCGCGCGAAAAGAATCTCGAATATGGCTCGAATGTTATTGTGGCCACCATGGATCCCACGCCCACCTCCGAGCAGGCGTACGTCAATTCCCTAAAACGTGAGGTCGAGGATGCGCGAAAGGTGTCCAAGGAGGTGGAAAAGAACTATCATGATACCAGCGAGCTGCTTGTCGAGGCGAAAACTGAAATCGAGGAACAAAAGCGACAGATACAATTGCTTGAGCGCAAATTGGCAGCTGCGCTGCAGGTAAGCGACAGCGCCGTCGGGGCGCCTCCACCAACTTAACAACTGTGGGCGTGGCACTAGACTAGTAGAAGATGCCGTGTGTTGTCAGTTGTTGTCAGTTGAAGTTCTAGCTGGGGTCGTAACCCACACATATCCACCTGTTCTCGCACATTTTCAGCGCCGTCTGCGTTGCCGCCCCTCGAGCGACAGCTCAGCCTAAAAAAACCAAATAAAAAGTTCTAAAAAACCAGCTAACAAAGCAATCGCAATTAGTCGCTTTCGCAATGATTGTAGTTTTTTTTTTTTGTAGTCATTGTTGTAGTTGTAGCAGCACCTACGATAAATAATTACATATCAGCTGACAACACGACACACATTCTTGAGACATTTGTGGGGAGGGGCTGCTGAGACGTGGGCGGGTTGCTGAAATCTACCGGGCCAATTAGCGAGATTCTTTGTCTCAATTTGAAACGTTTTCAATACCTTTTTCTGCTCAGTCGTCTTTTCTCTCTTTGTCCTCCCAACCCTCAGTCACACCTATTCTCTTTTTCTTCTTTCTCTCCCTCTTTTCCCCTATCTATCGTTCACACCTATTCTCTCTTCTCTCTCTCCCTCTTCTCTCCTCTTTCTTTCACATGCCTTCCATCTCTTTATTTCTATATTTCTTAATTTCTCTTTCCCTCTACCCCCCCCCCATGCTCTCTTCAACTTGCCTTCTTCTCTTCCCCTCTTCTCGCCCCTCTATTCGATTCTCATAACTGCAGGTGAGGCTCTCTATATGATTAACGGCACCAGCTTAAAATCTCTCAGCTACTATCTCAACCTCCCGTCATCGCAATCTTCAAGGTGTTATGCACACTTCACACGCAGAAGATGAGTTTCCCAAATGTAGATTAGATTTTGTAATATTAAGAAAATCGATTCGTATAGACAAACAAAGACAACGCTTTTGCTTATTTTCTATACTCCGCATACTAAAAACATTAACCGATTTAACCAACGCAATCGCTATTTATATAAGGCAAATACGACTCCAAGCACTAACAGACCGCATATTAGTTTTCGCTTTGCTTACGACGTCGACGAGGACGAGGACGAAGACGATGATTACTACGGTGCGAGGGTAACCAATAACAAGGTAATGCCCACAGATGCATTCGGTCAGGCGTTGCTTTTGGCGAGATGTTTTCCTAATCCCCCATCTATTGTGAATGTAGGGAGGTGGCTCAGCGGATGGCTCCAGAAGACCAAGCGATGCGCATTTCGGACGCGACAGCTCCCCCGAACTGGAGCTGGAGATGAGCGAAAGCGATCCCGACGAGCCTGAGGAGAAGAAGACAGAACGACGCGAGCGCCGAATGGGCAAAGAGGTGAAGGTGCTGCGCAGCAAGCTGACAAAGCTGAAAGTCAAGGAGGAGGCCGCCAAGAAGGAAAAGGATGCACTGAAGCAAGCCATGAAGAAGAATCATGTTATACTCAAGTAGAGCGGCCAAATATTATAGTCAATTTGTGATTACAAAAGATTTCTTGCAGAGAGGAGAACAAAAAGTTCAAAAAGCTGGAGAAGGAAGTGCAAAAGATGGCCGCATCGATGAAGCTGGACGAAGACGAAATCGATGCCGAGGACAAAGATGATGAAGAGGCAGCCGAAGAGGAGCACGAGGAAGAAGAGGCAGAGTCCGAGGAGGAGTCAGACGAATCGGAATCTGAAGGAAGCGAAGAGGAATCGGGCAGCGAATCCGAAGCGGAAGTAAGTACACCATCTGGAAGGCATCTCCTTATCTGAATAAATGATTGATAGAAATGATTGACTGACTGACTGATTGATAAGCATGCAAAAAATCAGAAAAAATCAGGCACGGGCAATACCGGATAATATCTGCCAACTTATTTATATATATTTATATGCACGGTTTACCTCTGCTCCTTAGGATGCCGCCAATTCCGCCAAGAAATGCAATTTGGAGCCGCGCGTGAAGAAGCACGAGAGTCGCTTTGCTGCTATGAAGAAATGCAATGTGCTGCTGCAGGCCAATGTGGACAATTTGCAGGATCAAATTTCACAGGTGCGCTCCAGGGCCACCAATCTCCAGGACGAACTGGATGCGGTAATTGCCGATTTGGGTTTCTAGGCGCATTAATCACAACATCAAAAACAGCTGCTGCTCCCCAGTAAAAAGAGAATCGAATGTACAACGTGTTTGTTTACTGTTTGCGTAGTGTTCCTTTTTTCAATGTATTTAAATATAATTATATTATCGACATATGTAAATTCAAGGCACACTATGTATTCACGTTCCAATTGCAAGTTGGTTTATTTCACTGTAATTGTTTTCTCTCGCCGGCAAATTGCGTGTTTGTTTGTTTGTTTTAAGTAATTATCGCTTTTCGAGTACTTTTTGCGTTTTGTTGTGGCAACCGGTGGCGCCGACGCGCTGTTAGCAAAGTTAATAGCACTGAAAGGTTACACTATGTTAAGCAACTGTTAATGTGGAGTACATGAACGGCATGCTGCTCAACGAGGCCTAACAAAAGAGTCTGACGTCAAGAGCACTGTCTGTTTTTGCAGGTATTGTTTACCTTCAAATTGTGGGCGCAGCTGCTAATGTCTCATTGCATTTGTAAATCTGAATTATTTAAATTATGGTAAAAATAAGACTATCTACTTTGTGTACGTTATACTTTGTGTAAAATTTGCGTTGAGCTATGCCAACCGATGGCGCCGACGCGCTGCTTACAGGACTTGAAATAATTCGACGTTGCGCCATGTTAATTGCATGTTATCTTTAAGTACCTCACATGCATACAGGCAAGTATCGAAAGGTAACAGCTGTTGCCTACGCAGCGCCCTCTGTCTGCAATTTAAGAAACTGCAAACACTACACAAATTTAAATTTGTGTTAACGGTTTTTACTTTTTCACAATTTGTATTTATTAATTAGCTTTTTTGTTCGAAATTCTTTAGTATAAGCATGTATAACAATGTACAAAACAACAAGTCAATGAATTTGGCTAAACTAAATCATTAGAGTTATACGTGTATATATAATAGTCAGCTGTGTGCATCATTTTTTAGATGGTATGAGTATCACGCTCGAACTTTAAAACTTTATGCTTGTTTAAAATATGTGAATGAGTCTATAATGCGCCTATTTCTGTATACTAAGCTGAGCTTTTTAATAATCCAAGTCTAAATCGTGTATGAATTAGTGTATCGTATTAGTTTTTGAGCATTATTCTCCGATGCCCGATGAAAATTTGATTTTAAACGTTGAGAAACCACTTACATAGCTAAAGCATTCGAATTACAACTACAAACTACATCTAATAGTTGGTCTACTCCAGCAGAATGATTCGAAAACGCTTGCGCAGCGAGGATTCCCGTGGCAAAGTCATGGCCCACTTCTTCATGGCCGTCAGAATAACCGAGCTGACGACCATGAGAGCGCCGCACAACGAATACGCATTGGGTGCCTCGCCAAAGAAGAGGATTTGCCAAATAAATGCGAACACAATGTCGGCACAGCGGGCAATTGCTACCGGACCCGCCTGCTCTACCTGCAGCGAGAGCGTCAACAGGATTTGACCCAGAAAACTAAAGATGCCCAGCACGACGACCAGCCAGCGATCTCGTCCACAGCTGGGCCAGCAGACGGCGCCAATGGAGCCGCACACAATCAGTGTATAGACCAGGGCGATGGCTCCAAAGTTCGTCATGATCACCGAAAAGTGTAGATTCTTGAGGGCACGCAGCAGAATATAAACATTGGCACCGAAAAGCGTGGATGATATGGCAGCAACTGGTCCCCAGATATCATATGTTTTATCCGAATACTTTTCACTGTCCATCGCGTGGTGGTTGGCATCACCAAAGGCCAGCGGCGGCTTGGTGATGAGCACCACGCCCAGCAGCGTCATATTGATGGTGAGCACATTGAAGAGCGTGCAGGGCTCCTTGAGGAAGACGCGTGCGAATATGGCTACGAACACAGGTGTGGAGAAGATGATAACGCTGGCATCGGCAAGCGGCATATGGCGGAACGCATAAAAGCTAAGCATCAGACCCGTGGTGCCCATGAAGCAACGCAGCAGCAGGATGACGCGTTTGCCCTCGGGAAATACCGGCTGTCTGGTATAGATGAGTATGGGTATGGCCGGCAGGAGTACGCCCACAAAACGGAACGAGGCCAGCTCCATGGGATTGACATCCACCAGGCCCTTGACTATGACCGAGCATAGCGAGAAGAACAGCGATGAGAGCGTGGCAAGTATAATGCCCAAATATGGGCAATTTACGCGCGTTTTAAGGCGTTCCAGCCATTGATTTGATATGTCGCCCGCACGCGTGCCATCCACAAACTGATGCAATTCCAAGTTCTCTGGCATTGTGCCGCTTTCTAATATGCTAGTCTACTTATTAATTTACTGGCACATTCTGCAAACGTTTAATTAGGTTAGGAAAAGAAGCGTTACAAAGTGCCGTTATTCAATTATCTTACCTGTATTTTTTTTTTATTGCTTTGGAAAAATCGATTTTTCAATCGTGTTGCAGCGTTTTAGGCAAAATGCTGTTACGGAACTGCTTGTTTCTCAGTGGGCCGCGCCGGCTGGCTCATCGGATTCTCTGGGTGTGGTCCCATCCCTGGCCCGCAGTCCGCACAATCGATAACAACAAAACTACACGTCTGTAGCAAAACAGACTCACACAACACTACTCAAAATGAACCGCATAATCGATAACAAATATTCGGAACTACTAACTCATGAACAAAATACACAGCTGTAACAATTATGAAAATGTAAACAACAAAGGTAAGACACTCAATATAAATTAACAAAAAAACACTATTTATCCACCTTACTCTTCCAGATCGGGCCCCGGTTCCGGACCCAGCGTACCCGCCCTACCATGAGACGATCACCTCCACTCGTCTCCCTCATTTTGGCCACCAAATGGCCTATATTAGCCCGTGTCGGCCATAATGCCCACTCTCCCCAGCAATATTATTTTAGCCGGACATGATTTCTTTCAATAGGTGCGTATAATTGGTTGCGTTTTCTTAAAATGTATAACAATCATAATCATTGCTTATGGCATTTATCTTGCAGCTGTTTAGGATCTCATGCAAGCGGATAATTCATTAACTTCGCAGGTGCGTATTACTGTTGCATATATTTATACTAATTGACAAAGCGCATTAATTCCTAAATTTTTCTCTTATCTTATAGAATTAATTTTTTTTTTTTTTTTTTTTTTTTTTTTTACAACACTGAATGGGACAGGCGACGAAACACTACAAGGATATTGCGAGTCGCCGCAAAAGAAACGCGCAATGAGGCACTTTAGAGGCAATCGTTGCGCCGATTTAGGAACAATGGCCCACACAATTACTTAAAACTGGGTATGTCACGTATTGTGTAATGTATGTATTAAATCGCTTAATTCTACCTTACCCTACCTAAAGAGCTCTCTGGGGGTGGTAAGGGGCGATATAAATGCGTAAATTCAAATTGGGTAAGTATGTGAGCATAGTTCGCGCAAGTGTTAATTTTAGATTTTTATATTTTACAGGCGCAGATGCATCACCTTTGGAGTTTTCCCCCACCGTTCGCACTCTAAAGTGAAGCTCGGCGTAAGTGCCTATGTATGTATAAATACATTTTATAAATACAAATTTACTAAATTTAACGATAAAAAAAAAATCTACTCCTTTTCAGGGAGTGCAATTAGGAGTCTTCTTCTGACTCTGCCAGGGGCTCGAACGAGGATGGGCAAAGATATGGAACGGACTCACTCGGTGGATGTGGGCGGGGTCTCGCCTGTGGCCGCTTCTTTGTTGTTGGAGCCCGGTCGTTGGTGGCTCGTCTCGTCGCCTTCAGGTTTGCGCCGACGCTTGCTGGCGGCGTCGCGGATATGGCTGGTTGGCGCCGCTGCACTGGATCCTGGCCTTCGAATGGTTCGTGGGCCTCTCTGGTGCGCGAGCTGGTCTCCTTGGTGCCGGAGCCGTTAATTTTTGGCTTATTTGGGTCCTCTCTCGTCGCACTTAAGTTTTTAAGTCTCTTTTAATTTTTTTATTATATTTTTTTTGTGACTCGAGTGGTTTGACTTATATATTTTTATTAAATGGCAAAAAAAGAACACAAAAACAAGACTTTTATTCGTCCGTTAAGCCACTGGTATTATGTGCCGGCTTAATTTTTCAGAAGGGAAAAAAATTTTACTCTGTCGAGCAGAAGTGCAATGTCCAACTTTTTTGCTCACTTCGAGCTGGCACGCCCGCCGTTAACCGCTGAACAAATCGAACTCCTCGACATTTTGGGCAGCCACACCATCGGTGCCGAATTTCGGCACACGCATACATTTGCGAGGCGGGCACCGTTGCTGCTCATCTGCACAGCTGCATTTTTTTGGGTCAACGGCCCAAATGGAGGCCAAGGGCATATCCAAGGGCATGCGATCCACTCTCCTCATATTCTCTTTAAGAGCGAACCGGGCGACCAATAGCAATCGTCGCTTTTGGCGCCGTGGATCGCATGTCTGGCGTTGCCACCCTTCAAAATTTTGGGCTCCGCCGTGGGCCCAGCTTCACCCCGCATACTCCGACCATATGACAAAAAGATATCGGCGTGGCCGATAATATCGAACGCAACCAACTGAGTAACCCTCGGTGCTACCGATAACGTCAAATGCAACATCACCACGCAGATTATTGTAACGACATGAAGGACAGTTACAAGGAATCTGCGTGCGCATTTCCTGGATTGACCCAGCCGGCTAATAACGATGCCCAACGTAGGCCACACCCACGACAAGTAATCTATATTTTTTTTTTCGCTGACCCAAAAAAAAAGGGGGGACTGGCGCTGCCGCCGCCGTTGCCTGGCAAGGAGGTGAGCAAATTACGATTATGTTCGTATATCTTTTGCGTGGAAGACGCCTAGCACGCGTCCCTGGAGATCTTCCAACTCGTAGGCGTTGGTTCCCACGGCTCGGACGACGCGGCTCTTCAAGAACTTCCGGGCGAACTTGGCATTGAAGGCTTTGCCGAAGCTGCTCAGTGCGAAGTTGCGCCTCCACACTTCCTGTCCCGGTTCCAGATGGAGCTGTCGCGCGCGGTGGTCGTACCGTTGGCGACTTCGCTCGTATGCGGTGTGCAGGTGGTCCTTGACTTGGCTTCGGATTACAGCCAGTCTGTCCTTTGCGTCAAGGTCAGAAATACTGTGGTCGGCCAATGATCTCAGCTTCCTGGCCAGTTTGTAACTGGAACCATTCAGGTACATCTGCTGTCCAAAGACCGCGAAGAACGGAGTGACTCCCGTAGCGCTGTGGACCGCATTCCGGATCGCCACTTCCACCTCTGGTAGGTACGCGTCCCATTCCCGATGATCCTGACCCAGGTAGGTTCGGATTGCCGACAGCACTGTGCGGTTCACGCGTTCGGCGGCGTTGCTCTGAGGCGAATACACTGGTGTGCGCAGGTGAGTAATGCCAAACGCCTGGACCATCGCATCGAACGACTTTGACACGAATTGTCGTCCATTATCCGAATGGATCACTTCCGGCACGCCAAATTTGAAGAACACCTCATGCACTAGGAAGTTCACGACATCCGCCGCGGTGGCTTCCCTCATGGCCTTCAGGAAGGTAAACTTCGAGAAGTGGTCTACGACGACGAATATCCACGCATGCCCTCGTTTCGACCGTGGATACTTCCCCAAGAAGTCGATATATAGCTTCTGGAAGGGGCGGTCGGTGCGCACTTCTTCCCCAATTCCGACCTGCATCCGGTAGTTCTGTGCCTTGGTCTCCTTGCATGTATCGCATTTCCGAACATAGTCCCTGACTTGTATGGCCATGTTGGGCCAATAATATCGCCTGCGCAGCGCGTGCAGCGTTTTCCTCATGCCTCCATGAGCTGACGTCTCGTCCGCGTGTGCTTGTTGGATGAGTCCTGCCGTCAGCGACTCCGGCACCCAGAGCTTCCAACTGGTGCCTTCGACCTCATCCTCCAAGCTCTCGTGCACGGTCCTCTTGAACAGAAGTCCGTCCTGCACTCTAAGGTCCGGCAACTTCCCTTGTTGGCTCATCACCTCTCTTATCAGCTCTCGATATTCGGTGCTCTCGAACTCCGGGGTCTGAAATCCCAACAGATCTTCCGGGGTCAGTTCGACCTCTTCCACGCTTCGGGACAATGTGTCTGCGACGACGTTGTCGGCTCCCTTGCGGTACTGCATGGAGAAAGGGAACGCTTGCAGTTCTAGGGACCACCTGGCTAATCTCCCGCTCAAGTCTTTGAGACTCATAAGCCACTGCAGACTCGCATGATCGGTGATTACCGTGAACGGCATCATCTCCACGTACGGCCGGAATCGATGTATGGCCAGTTTGGCGGCTAGGCATTCCTTCTCGGTCACCGAATAGTTGATCTGGTGCTTGTTGAGTTTGGCCGAGAAGAATGCGATCGGCCTTTCCTGTTGTTCGTCGTCTAGCTGGAACAACACGGCTCCTACTCCGTAGTGAGATGCGTCGCATTGGATGAAGAATGGTCTTCGAAAATCCGCGTGAACTAACACCGGGGCTGTGGTGAGGGCTAACTTCAAGTTTTCTATGGCTTCTATGGCCTCGTCGCTCAACACAAATCTACCCGTTCTCTTCTTAAGGGCATCAGTCAACGGTACCGATATCTCGGCGAAGTTCTTTATGAATCGGCGGTACCACCCCGCCGTACCTAAGAAGCTTCGTAGTTCCTTGACCGTCCTCGGATTCGGGATGTTCCGGATCGCTTCTACCCTTCCCGGATCCATGCGCAGCGTCCCGCCGCCTATGATGAAACCCAGGTAGTTTAGGTTGCGGAAGCAGAATTTCGACTTCGCCATGCCTATGGTGAGGTTCGCGTTCCTCAGACACTCGGCCACCAATTCCAAGTATTTTAAGTGCGTTGGAAAATCTGCCGATATTATCAGCAAGTCGTCCAGGTATACGAATACGTTGGACCTCAGATTCGCCGGGATTACCTTATCCATGAGCCTGCAAAGTTGTTGAGCGGCGTTGCAGAGGCCGAATGGCATGTGGCGGAACTGGTACAGCGGCCTCCCTGGTACAGTAAACGCCGTATACGCCCTGCTCTTCTCCTCCATCTCTATTTGCCAGAACGCGAACTTAAGGTCGACGCTAGAGATGAAATGAGTCTCGTCGATTCGCGATAGGATGCCCTCGATGCATGGAAGCGGGTAAGCGTCTTTTACCGTTACACTGTTTAATTTCCTGGCGTCTAAGCAAAACCTGTTCTTCCCAGGCCTCATCACCACCGTCGTCCGGTTGCTCCACGGGCTGTCACTCTCCTCGATGATGCCCAACTTTAGCATCTTATCCACCTCGGCCCACACGATCTCTTGTTTGGCCGGGGACAGCGGATAATGTCTGTCTTTCACGGGTTCTGCTCCCTCGATCAGCTGAATTCGGTGCTGCAGCAGGTGAGTTTTCCCTAGGCCATCCTTCTCAAATTGGAGAAATCTGCTCTTCACGCTTTCCAACTGACTCCTCTGATCGTTGTCCAGGTCCCACATTTCCGGATCCGTCACGCAGTCGTCGTCGTCCCGGTAATAAGCCACCTCTGGGTTTGCTACCGTTACCTCAGATGCCTCTGGTGGTGTTTCGGACTTTCTGGCCGGACCGAGCAGCTCTGGTGCGATCTCGAAGGCTCGCCAGAAGTCGATTCCCAGGTATAGTTCCTGTCGCAGGTCCGGGCACATGTAAAATACGATATATTCCGTTCTATTCCCGTATTTCACAGGCAGAACAACGCGACCTAAAATTGGGCGATTGGCACCCGCCGCTGTCCTCACCATCGATTCGTATGGCCGCGCTTCCCATCCCAGTTTCTCCACTAACTCCCGGCATCCTTGTCCCAACAGACTGACGGAGGCCCCCGTGTCCAGCAACCCTTTCATTTTGGCCCCAGCGACCTCAACTTCGGCGAATACTCGTGGGTCTATACTCTCCTCCCGTCTCACCGCTTCGACGACCTGGCGCCTGGTAATCCTGCGTCTGCGGAAGCGCGCACGTGCCTTCACCATTCTCCGGGTGGCTAGCGTCATCCCCTCCAGCTGTCGCTCACCAAAAATTCTATTTCGGGCCGACATGTATGCCCGAACACGTTCTTCGTATGGTAAGCCCCTAAGTGTTCCTCCTTTGCTTATACTATTATTATAATTAGCCTTATCCTGATCCTTATTCCAAATCTCCGTCTCCTTTCCAATGATTATTGGCTCTGGTAGGTGCCCCTCTCCTGCTTTCCCGCGGTCGCCGTCCCGGAACGCGTCTGTCCCGCCATCACCGCGCTCCCTCTGGGGTTTCCCGGACAGTTTTCACACTGCGAGCAGAAAGTGTCCGGCTTTCCACACCTATAGCAGAATATTTTCCGCTCCTTGGACAGGCAGTCTCTAAAGACGTGGTCGAACTGTCTGCAGTTCCAGCATACAATTCGGGATGAGTTCCTGCTTCGCACGAATGCCTCCTCCAGTTCTCCCGGTGGCGTTTCTGTAAGATGCGGTGGAACTTCAACCTCGTGGACTACGGGCCTCGTTCCTTGTGGACAACGCGACGGCT